TTTTCATTAGCAATTTAGCAAAGTTGATGGTGGTGTGTGTGTCTGTGTGAGTGAAAGACAGAGAAGGAGAGCGAGAGACAGCTTTTGTGTTATAAGCTTCATATTATCACTACATGTTATAGACGCAGTGCGAGCACTCAGGTCGCATCAGAGCATTGGGCTGTATAGTGTGAGACCCTGCATCATGACCAACAAACTTCTAACCCCTGCAATTCAATCGTACAGTTTGAGCAGGAGCTGACCAACGCGACTGAAAAAATCGAACAATGTATGCCCAGCTGACTTTTCATTTTTTTCTGTTTAGGGTCAAATTGGTTTGATGTGTCAAGGTCCACAGTGACATGAAATAATAACTCTCCTCAAATGCATCAAACCTAAAGTAACGAGCCCCTTTTGACGTAAGGAGTAGAAAGCACAGATATTTGTTTAAAAATGTCGGGAGTAAAAGTCAAAAGTTGTCAAAAGTTGTCAAAAGTTCCGGTTAATACTTGTACAGCTGCTGTTATTGTGTATATATTTATTTATATTTCTTCATACATTCTTATATAGTTCTATATTGTGTATTTTGTTGTACAGTTATTTTATTTTCAACTTTAATTTATATATTTTATCTTATTCTTTCCCAGTTAAATTTACCCTTCATTCTAATTTGTGTTGTACAGTTATTTCATTTTTAACCTTAATTTATATTTTATTCCTTCCTAGTTAAATTTGCCCTTTTTAATTTTTCATATTTATTTCCTATCTTATTCATAGCCTTTTCCTTTTTTTTGTTTTCTTTAGGTCACGAGCAGTTGTCCAAGCATTTCACCACATATTGTACTGTGTATGACTGTGTACGTGACAAATAAAATTTGAATTTTGAATTTGAGAAAAATAAATACTCAAGTAGAAATACCTGTAAATTCTACTTAAGTACAGAAATAAATTGTCTGTACTTCATTATTTCCCACCTCTAGTAGTAGATAATATGATGCATGTTTTAAAATGTGATTAATTTAATACTGCCTAAATTTCAAAATTTTCTAAATACTCAAGAATTTGGAAAATTGTAATTTCATTCTTTAGGATGATATTCCAGGCTCTGATGCTTTAAGAATAAAGATATATAATACAAGACTTGATCTGTGTTTTGTAATACAAGTTGAGAAAGAGCACAGAGGTTGAAGAGGCCACTACCCTCTTCCACATTTAAACGTTTCTTCCTTCTTTTTTCTAGTCTTGTAAGATGCATCAGTCTAACCTTGCTGCTAAGACTTGTGATGGCCAGGTCAAATATTTTTTGCATATTGTTTCTCAATGTAAGATTGCAATTGCTGAACCACACCTTTCTTTGAGTACAGCTAGTTTGATATTGTAGCAAACATGTTTTTTAATACATGTGCATAAAATGTTTTGATATTAGGTTAAAATGTTACATTTAAGCAAAAAGCAGCACAATCTCATTTTGACATTTATTTTGTACTGACACAGATGGTGTGGATATTTAAAGCTGTGCTCATTTTTCCTTAAACCCAGCTGCTATATAATATCTCCACCTGAAAACCCACTCCAGACTTTAGAGGGCATTTGAACAATAATAAGTTTGTTTATCAACTGAAAATATTGGCAAATTCATTGAAGATGCATCATTTTAACCTGGCTGCTAAGACTTTTGAGGGCCAGGTCAAATGTGCAGGTCAAATATTTTTAGCATATTGTTTCTCAATGTAAGATTGCAATTGCTGAACCACACCTTTCTTTGAGTACAGCTAGTTTGATATTCTAGCAAACAATTTCTTTAAAAATACATGTGCATGAAATGTTTTGATATTAGGTTAAAATGTTACATTTAAGCAAAAAGCAGCACAATCTCATTTTTGGCATTTATTTTGTTACTGACACAGATGGTTTAGAATTTAAAGCTGTAAAGTCTTTTACTTCTATTGTCACGGTCCTGGGCCTGTGGCCCAGTGTTTTGATTCTATATTATTGTTTATTGGGTCCTGTTTTGCTTTTCTAGATTTCTTGTCCTTCTGGGTTGTGATTTCTAGCTCTTAGGTTTAGTTCTACCCTCATGTTCCTCCTGTTTCCTCTGTACTGTGTTAGTATTGTCTCTGAATCCTGCCTGCTGTTTTTCCAGCAATAAAGCTGTGCTTTTCAAGTTTATCCCACGTGTCCCCGTGAGTTTGCGTTTGGGTCCAATCCCTGCCTGCCACACAGCCGAAACATGAGGGTAGAACGCGACCATTACACGGACCCAGAAAACCGCTCCCAGCTGCGTGAGCGTCAGGATGCTGCCTTTGCCCAGCTGGAGGAGGAGCTCCGCTGGAGGCCGTGGTGCACTCCTGACTATGGGCGGATTTTCCGAGGAAATCGGCTGGCTTTCGGAGGTCCCCGAAGTTGCCAAAAGCCTCCGCCTGTTGCCCCGCTCGCACCCAAGCCTCGGCCGCTTCAGGTGGGAGTGCTCAGTTTTTCTTCTGATGCTCATGCGCCAGCCTCTGCATTGCCGTCCTGCACGTCAGAGGCTCAGCTGTACACCCCGTCAGATTCCTCACCTCAGAGGAAGCGACGCTCACGCCGCCGTCACTTTTCACCTGCTGAGCAACTCCCAGTGGTGAGTCATAATGACTGCCTTTCACACATTCCACCTGAAGCCACAACTGAGAAGAACGATAAACTCACCTCTGATCCATGGGGAACTTCCCTTATGGATGATGACAATGACTGGGAAAATTATTTTCATTCAGCTCCCTGGGAGGGGGGATTAATTAAGGACAAGTCAAACTCTTCAAACCCTTTAAACACTACTAAAACAAAGACTGTAAAGCGTGGTGGAAAAAGTGCAAAATTCATTTTTGATAAGTTTGTTTTTGCTGACCCAGTACATTTTAACCCTGAGCCTGCCCATTCTAAGACTGTTTTTTCTGGGCCCAATCCTTTGCCTACTTGTGTTCCTGCTCCCAGGGCAGCTCGGGCCCAGCGTACCCCTGCACCCGTATCAGTTCCTCGGGTGTGAGAGTCTGGGGCCCAGTTGGTCCCTGCTCTGGTTTCCAGGCCGGCTGAGGCTCTGTCAGTCTCTGCACCCCCTACCAGCGCCTCGGGTGAGAACGGCAGCTGCCCAGCCGTTGCCGGTGCCTGTCCTGGCTTCCAGGGTGAGGGGGGCTGTGAACCAGTCCACCCCTGCACCCATGCCGGTCCCCAGGGTGAGGTCAGCCAGGATACAGCCCGTCTCCGCACCCATACCTACTCCTGGGGTGGGAACGGCTAGTGTCCGGCAGGTGCGTGCACCCGTTCTTGTTTCTGCTGAAGGCTCAGGCAAGCCCGCCCAGCAGTCCTCCCTGTGTTCCAGAGGCTCAACCATCCACAACCATCATCACCACCATCACTACTGCATGCATTTCAGTCTATAGCTCAGTCATTGGTTGTATCCCAATTCAGGGTCTGCAGCCTTAAAGTACGCAGCCTTAACGGTCCACAAGGGCCGCGTACTCAAAGACCGCTAAGGCCGGAAGTGCGAGGCTTGTGAAATGGGACAGTCTAGCCTCCGTCGCGCTGCCCAAGTTGCCTAGCAACCATGATACTAACAGCTGGAAACGTTTCATACAGCTTTGTTTGACAGAAATGAAGGAGAAAATCTTTTGTTCATTTGTTTGTTTGTTTCTACATGAGCTTTGATCATTCTCTGTAAGATTAAGCTCAGCTATTGAACGGCGTATATTTTAAAGTAAAGGCTTTAAAACCAAGATAGTACAAACGTCACTAATGTCACATAACTTTGCCGACATGTGGCCAACAGTAATGTTTTAATGTTCTTCGTTATTAAACATTTGCACATAAGTGACATAATATTCAGTACTTACTTAAAGTTTACTCTTCGGGCGCCCCTCATCTGCCGTTTTTTTTGGCAAAATTATCCACACAAACCGCCGCGCTATGCATTCTGGGATATGTTGGGCCACGAAGTCTACACCGCCACATCCTTAAAATTCAGGGAAATGAAGGACGCATTTGAGGGCCGCATTTCGAGCAACCTTCGAATTGGGACAGCCTTCGTCGCGTCGCTGTGACGTAATCGGCCTTAAAATGGGGCCTTTAAGGCTGCAGACCCTGAATTGGGATACAGCCATTAGCTCTGTTAGCAGCCCAGTCCATAGTTCAATTTCCTGTGTTACTGTTAGCTCACCCCTTAGCCCACTGTGCAGCTCAGCCATCTCCCCAGTGTTCAGCTTAGTCATTTGTTCCACCACCTGCCTTCTGTTCAGCCATTGGTCTCTGTCCCTACTGGTCATGCCACGTCAGCTGGGGGGCCCGAGGAGCCCGTCCAGCCTCATGCCACGTCAGCTGGGGGGCCCGAGGAGCCCGTCCAGCCACCACCTGGGGCTGCCACGCCGTGGCCTGCAGCACCTACGCCGTCGCCTGGTTCAGCTTCAGCTTCGCCGTCGCCTGGTCCAGCTTCAGCGTCGCCTGGTCCAGCTTCAGCTTCTGCACCAGCCTCAGCTTCTGTATCAGCCTCGCCTGGTCCTGCAGCTGCCACGCTGCCGACCAAGCCACATTCTGCACCTCGGAATCGCCGGCCACTTTCCGGGCCACCAGCTGGACGTTATCGCCGTCGAGGTCGGCCCCCAGAACTGTTTCTCCATTGCCGCCTGCACGGTCGGCCCCAGAACTGTTTCCCCATTGCTGCCCGCATGGTCGGCCCCCTGAGTTATTGGTGAACTGTACGCCAGTGATTTTTTTGTTTTTTTTGTTCCGTTGAATTTATCCCCCGTGTCCCCGTGAGTTTGCGCTTGGGTCCAATCCCTGCCTGCCACACAGCGGAAACATGACATCTATAGCATTGTTTTGTAAAATGATGGTCCTTTTGCCAATACATAAATTATGCAAGAATATGCTGATGTTATCTTCTTATTAAAAGTGAGATAATAAGTCAAATAAGAATGAAAAAAGGAAGCATAGTCGCGTTTACATGCTGCACAGGATAGACACTGATGATTAGTTAAAAATTCACATCACAAAGCTGACAACACATATTTTATTGTTGATCAGATTAGAGAGTAAAATTCTTCACCAAAGAAAAAGTCACCCTGAAAAGACACTTCCAACCATAATCCATCACAGGACTTTCACAGACTAAATTTAATCTCATCTAATTCATTTGAGAATGCAGACTTTGTGTCTCCTTTGTCCTCGGGTGTCTAAAGTTTAAGGCATTGATTGACAGTTGTATTTTTCTGCTCGGATGATTTAATTTCAGCAGTTTTCTGCTTCTGAAGGTAGTGGAAGGACACAGCTAGGAGCCTCTATATTAGATAATAGTAAATGAGCAAGCAAAGGAGTAATTTCAAACACAGCAAGCTATCTTTTGTTGACTCAATCAAATGTGGTAGTATGGACATTGCTACACACACTGGGCCTTAAATTTTTCATATAGAGTAAATGTACAACTACAAATATGATTTTCTTATTCTGCTGTGAGTGCACTTGCATCATTCCCTGGACCATCTTCTGTACTGTCGTTCATCATCTGTTTGTATTTGCTCTTGAAAAACCCAGCCTAGAAGTGCAAGGAAAAAACATTAAAAGGCAGATATTGTGTATTGCAGTTGCAAACAAAATGAATGAAAATAACTATATGAGTGACTATAAAAACCTTTAACCTTTGTTTAACTGGTCATGATCTCTAAAAATATTAAAGCTATGTAATGAATTGAAAAAGTGTAAGAAGAGTCTTTCACCTTATACAGGCCAGCAGTGAGTAAAGCCAGAATAGCCAACCCTCCCAAGCATCCTCCAATGATCGCTTTAGTGAAATCTGGCTTAGGGTAAACTTCTACCTCTGCTACAATCTGAGAGATGACGAGACACAATGTGGATGACATTTAAGCTCTTGTACATCTCAAACAAGAGAAAGTAATGCTAAGTCACCTTGCGAACAGGAGGATTGTTGTAAGACCCTGTTGAAAAGTAGATGTATTGTTCTTTGTCATACTCCACAGTGGCTGTACTGGTCAAGAGGAATTTAGCAGATTGAAGTCCAATCTATGGAAAAAAAAAAAATAGACTAGGATGAGGCTGAATTAAAAATATTGTTCAATTTAAGGGAGAAATTGTTATCATATTCAAGTACATAAGACCACCTATAATCCAAATATGTATAAATCATTTATAAAAAAAACTACCCTTTAATTACCTGCTCTATCCATCCTGAACTGAGGTTGGCAGAGATTTCGTATGTCCTACTCTGCAGTCTTCCCATGAAGGTGTTGCACTTGAACACTCTGCACATGGCTACAGAGCAGTCCTGCAGGTGATTTAAAAAAAAATTGAATGAAACAAATCTGTGATTCAGTACAAGGTTATGTTTTGAATCTGCACCATGGTTCAGTTTTAACAGGTAGCAAAAGTGCAGAGGCATACTTACCACCACTTTATTCTTTTGTATCTTTGGAACAGAATCTGTGACATTTGGTGCTTCATCATTTCCTCTTTGACAGTCTGCAATCTGAAATACACTTACATTAATGTCCGGGTGATTGATCCTAATTTTAGCAAATTCACCCATCACACAGCTAATTGTGACCCATTTTTGTATCTTTTCTATTACCTGTAGGCTGCTCAAATTCACCCAAATCTCTTTTTCATCAAGCTTCACTGGAACCTTGATCACCACAGTGAAATTAAGCGCTCTGATATAATTTGTTACCTAAAACATGGGGAGAAAAGACAAAGGCAGTCAAGCATTATAATGGTTAGGTCTAATTCACACAATAATATTTATTATATTTTATTATATTTTACCGTGACTGATTGTCGAACCGGTTTCTGCAAATTATTTATCCCAAAAGTAAAATTGCTGTAGCTGAGGGTGCTAGAAAGATTTAAACATTTAAACATTATATAAATAATGTGTAAGACAAAAGAATGTTGGCTTGCAAATAATTTCCTTTGTTACAAATACAAACACACGTACTTTTCAAATGTCATGGAAATGCTGTATTTCACAGCAATCTCTTTCATTTCGTAGCTTTCACTCGTAGTAGTGTTCTCTTGATTTCCACTGAAAGAGAGAAGTGAAATGGTTGTACTGTATCTGTGGGGTTATTAAACAAGGAGTACCTAAATGACCAAATGAACAGTACCTGGTGGCATTTGCAGTGACAAAGATCTTTCTCGCAAGTCGACTGTTGGTGTCAATCCCATAGGAGACAATGAAGAAAGCCTTAATTGAAATAAAGGAGAGAAATCTTGATTCCCTCACATCTTTTTACTAAACTGTGCAGAAGTGAGAAGAGAAAATTGCATCAAAAAAAACAAACCTCAGTTTTGCTCTTGAAAATTGGCTTGTCAATAGTACAGTCTGTCCTTCCTCGGGATAAACCATCTTCACTGTCCAAGGATTTGCACTCAATTCTTCCCTTTATTAGTAAATAAAATGACTTCTGGATGCACTGGGAGAGCAGCAGATCAGTGATGAACTGATAAAGACTTGATCCTGATGCCTTACCTGCTGAATGGTGAACTTCCTGTAGGAGAGTCCAGCTGGGTACGTGAGAATAACGCGACTGTTGTAGGAGTTTTCTCCTCTGTTCTCCACTGTGACTGTGACATTCAAAAGCTCATCAATGCCCACTTTAACCTCTGAGGATCTGACAGAGGATGAGAATAAAGGAAGAGGAAAACAGATTGCACTGTGTTGGTGAACTTTCCATAAGCTAAATATAGCACGTATTTGTGTTGAATTCTAACATACTATGTTAGAATTCAAAATATGTAGTATGTAACATATATGCTGTGCTTCAATGCTGATGCTGTTTTATTATGTTTTGTGTATTGGTCAAATCTTTGAGCCCTTTTAATGTATGACACTTATGTATGTGTTGTATGTGAAAGGCCATATTTGCTGGTTTTTCGTATCTTTTTGAAATATGAATGACTTTTGTATTTTGTTTTATTAAGAACCTGAGGGCCTGAAGTGGAGGTGTCTGGGTGCCTTTGGTGGGGGCATTTGCGCTGTGTTTTTTTTATGCAACCCCAGTTTAACCTGCAGATTAGTGTGAAGGTGTGTAGAGAAGAGATATACGTGAATTGGCAATTTTTTGATACTCTTTTCATCTAGGAGCCCATTTGCCCACTGGTGAGCTGATATGCTGTTGACTAATTTTGTGCAAGTGGATTGATGCCTCTTTTGTTTCGTGTTTCTTTAATAATTGTCAAAAAAACAGCTTCTTGAGTATTTGTCTCTGTGTAAAGAATAATGGACCATGATGCTTTCTTGGTGAATTGTAAAGTTCTCGACAAAATATATAATATAATATATCCATCCATCCATTCGCTTCCGCTTATCCTTTTCAGGGTGCGGGGGCGCTGGAGCTATCCAGCTGTCATAGGGAGAGGGGGTACACCTGGACAGGTCGCAGTCTGTCACAGGCGACAGACAACCATCGCACTCAATTCAACTAGTGACAATTGGATATCCAATTAACCTATCCCACAGCTGCATGTTTGGACGGTGGAGGAAGCCGAGTACTGAGGAACCACACAAACACGGAGAAATCAAACACACAGAAAAGCTGATGGAATGAACTCAGACCTTCTGCTGTGCGCAACAGGCTAACACGTGCCTTATATAATATAATATAATATAATATAATATAATATAATATAATATAATAACCTGGTGAAGTTGAAGTCCACTTTTAGGTCATCAACACATTTGTTGTCAGTGCCGCAGTTGATCTCAAACCCTAACTATGGAACACAGCATGATGTGAAAAGTATGTATATTACACATTATTTACATAATAAATGAAACATCGGTGAATCCAACGAATAATCTGTTTGTTCTGTCATCTAACTTTACTTTTACATTTTTGTTAATCTGAACAAATTGAATATTCTTGATACGCTTTTGGAAAACAGCAAAGTCCTTTTCACACCCAAGAATTCTTCGGTAGAAGTAGTGTTAGTCAATTTTATGGCAACAAAAAGTTAATTCAGAAAAATAAGGTCAAAACTAATGCTGTGTTCTTCAGTTCATGTCCAGCTAGTACATTTTTAAAGGTATTTACAGGATAAATTATTGTTGTTTGAGCCTGCTGAGCAAGGCTTGGTCTGAGATTTGTGTTGGAAGGAAAACCGTCAAATGTGAATTTGAGCTCATTGGAAAGTTGATTGAGAGCATCGTCTGGGCAGGCCTGCAAAAAGACAGCAGTGTTAGATTTAGGTTCCGTGTTGGAAGACTCTTAAAAGCAAAATGGAAAACAAAATCTGCTGTTCACCAAATTGAACCTTATTTTGGTTATATTAGTTTTTCTCTGATGTTGTTTTACCTCAATAAAGAAGTTTACAGTTGAACAGTTTGGTGTACTTAAGTCAACAATGACCGATCGAGACTCCTCTCGTTGTTTCCCACTGATGTAAGCTCGGTTGTTTGGAGGTTTGCGAGTAGCATCGAGTGTAAAAGTATAATTAATTCTAGCTTGAGCTGGAATAAATCAGAGTTTAAAATGTTACAAATGTACATACACTAAAAAATGAAAATGGATGGGCAGTGCCATTTTGATTTTGAAAAAGTTAGGAGAATAAAGAACCTCGATCAACTGTAGACACTCTGCTCATGGTAAAGCAGACTGTAGCTGTGTTCTCCAGTGGTTTTGAGCAGGTTGTATTCTGAATACGGATTTCGTTTGGGCTGAAAGACACCTCAGCTTTAACCATTACTACAGGCCTTGATCTGGAAAAAAGGAAAAGCACATATGAACAACATTTGGTTTTTCAATTAGTACAGCAGCTTTCTGGGTAATGTAGTCATTTCCATTTCTGCTTGGAAATTATTTTTTAGAACAACAAGGCTACTGTTATAAATTACACATTTTATTTTGAGACTTCAGTCTCAACCAACCACATTTATTCCACCTTTAGTCACCAGAGCACCTCTCATTATGCAACCCAATATGATGGCAAAACGTGTAATAGACACCAGACCACCATTTTTATTTCACGCTTCTGCAAAACATGAAGTGGACACGCATGCAGTTGCATTTCTGCATGCAAAAGTTGTATTACCAGCACAGGGAGATAACATATGTAAAGACAAATCAATAGTGAACACAAAACATATAAAGAACATTTCAAGGTCCTTAATTGCCAAAAACGTTTAAGCTAGGTGTCTAATATGTATAAACATGTAAATGTGTTAATAATGTCTGCTAAAACGCTTTCCTGTGATAATGTTCACGTCAGATTGAAATAAAATCGCTCCCTCTGCTGTTACGGCAGCTTACTGCAAGTTCGCATGCATGTCATGTTTTGCCATTTTCCTGGGTTCCATCATGTCGCAACGAAAAAATTTTTTATCTCATGATCAGAAAGGCTTTTGACATGATAAACTTTAAGTCATATAACGTGACTTCTGGGAGAAAAAAATAGATGCCTGTTTTATCCTGCATATGTATTCCATTAAAGATTAAAAATTACTTTTCATGAATCACTTTATCATTGATGATGATTTATGATTCATTATTATATTATATAAAACCAATGCACAGGTCTTCAAATTGACCTAATCGTTTGACAGTTGGCGCATTCATTTGACATTGACAAAGTTGGTAGACATACCACAGACAATAATAACACATGACTGGAGTATCTATCTGGACTGTGACTTACCTCAGTAAGACAACCGTGCCCTTTGAACCCACCGCTAAGTCAGGTAGTTTATCACCACTCTGATCAAAAGACGACTGACTGATTGTCACTCCAAAGAACTTCAGTCCTGACTGGACCTCAGAGCCAGTAATTCTCTGTGTACGTGAAATATTTTAATTAATCAAACTTTATTGTATAGATATGGGCCTTAAATGATAACTGTGTTAATATATCCTCGTGAGTTCTTTGATGCTGTGTACCTGTGAGTAAGTAGGACTGATTCGTCCTCCTTCACTGTGGAATATGTAGATGCTGCCTTCACCATTATTCTCCAAAGGTGCTCCAACTGCCAAATCCCTGAATCCATCTGAGTTTAGATCAGGCAGCACAGCAAGAGAAGAGCCGAACCTTCCTTTGACAGCTAAATGTCCTCTTAGTACTAACGGATCATCAAAATTACACTCTACAAACTAAAAGCAGGAGAGTGAATATTATATGGTTATTAAGAAAGTTGAAAAATAAACTGATTCATTTAATTGCAGTACATAAAATTGTGATTTACCAAACCAGTTAGTCTGCAAACATAAACTCTTCCCTCTCTATCAGGCTCCGTGTACATTGGGGCTGATATGAAGATCAGATCAGTGATGTCATCATTATTTGTGTCCATGGTACACACCTCTGCCCCGAAATATTCACCAGTCTGATACTGTGTAAGGAACAAATTATTATTGAAAGGATTCAGGTTTAGGAAAAAAAACATCAGCTTTTATTTGAGAAAATAATTTATATATAGTTTACAATTCCATTCAGATCTGTCTTGCTGTAAATTCATACCTGTGATGAAAAGGGCTCGATCTTTTGGTTTTCAAAGCTTTGTCTGTTAACAGCGACCACAACTCCTCTGTGTTTGTATCTTGGAGCACCAACAATTGTTAGTGAGCCACTTCGGGTTTTAGCAGTTGCCATGGAGTAACCTAGAGGTTAGGTATTCAAAGAGAGGAAGATTCCTTATTCCTTCTTTTAAAATGTGTTCATTTTGCAAACACATTAGTGTGTTTGGGTGAAAGAATTACAGCAGAGCTGTGTAATACATGATTACATGTGTATGAGTTAGATTGTTAAAGCTGTAATATTCTTACCAAGATAACTGTCAGGCTCCAAAGACACGTCCTCATATGTTTTGAGCTTCTGGCCTCCTGTTGTGTATTGCACGTAGCCTCCCTTCCACTGGTTTGCACCAACAATAGACATCTGAATTCCCTACAGTGCAGACAGGAAATACATTTTATATACAATTTATTTTTCATTTCAAACCTGGAGTATGTTTAACTAGATAACTGTCTGCTTGCTTTTGGGTTATTATAAATGTGTGAATCTCTCTTTCTATGACTAGACTGTCTGGTGAGTTTCAGGTAGTTTTAATTACCTCGGGCACATAAACTGCACTGAATCCCTCTTGAGACATTTCCATTGTCAGTGACTCTCCACTGCTTTGAGATCCTGTAACAGAAAAATAAATGAGAAGGTAAAAGACACACTACAACAAATTTCACTTTAAAAGAAGTTTTTTTTTTTTTAAATTATTCTAAGTTAAGTAGTAGCTCCAAATAATTTTTTTTCTCTTGATTACAAAAGCGAGATTGAAATGAGATTGATTGTTAAAAACTAAATGAAAAGTAATACCATGTATGTCATTTTAATTGTAAAAAAGCTATTACAATACATTTATCTTTGTACCTTCAATGGAGAAGATTTTGTCCTGCAGACTCTGTCTTATTAATTCAAGTGCGTTGAAGTTCTGCACTTGAAACACGTATTTGACTGAGGGAGAAGATGCAATGGTGTCCAGTTCTTGTTTTGCTGCACTGTTAGTAAATGCACTCCCCACCTGGTGTTATAAAATATATGTTTGAGTTGTTATACTATGCAGCAGGATTTGCTCAGTACAGATTATGGTCCATAACTTTACGCCTTTCACCCAGTTTATAGACAGGTATTGTGCACTCACTGAATATGACCCACATTCATGATAACAGTTACGTAATTCTGCAAAATATTTTTCACATAAATTTGATTATGAACAGTTTAGGTTCCCATCAAAAAATTCTGCCTTTTCATGAATTTAAGAAATTCTATTTTAAGTTTATGTGGTCAGTGAAATGGGCTTTGATTTCACTACGTTAGCCTTCAGGTGTTTTTTGCATCCCATTGTCACAGATATAAATAAACAAACAACTACCAGTGTAGGCCTTCTTTACAAACATTTATGAAAGAATGGGTTGTTCTAAAGAGCTCACTGAATTTGAGTGTGGTACTGTCAATTTGTGAAATTTCTTGCCTCCTGTGTACTCCATCATCTACTGTTATAGTTGTGCATATAGTGTTATATCTTGTGAGTTTTGTCTGATAGTTGGCTGAAACACATCGTGAGTAATAGAAATAATAATAATAATAATGGAAGTACTTACCCCAATAGCAAATCGAACAATGTTTTTACTCTCTGCTAGCTGTGCTGCACCTCCCAGATCATAACGATCATGAGATTGTCCATCAGTAATTACTATCAAGACCTTCTTTACATTTGGTCTAGAACCTGGTATGAAAACATAGTTCCTGCCAAGTGAAAAAAGAAATCTATTTTTAACACAAAACAACTTTTCAAAGTGCATCTTGTGGTCATGACTAAATTGCATGTGTTATTATTGTCTTGATATGCATCATTTTTGTATTATCTTTTAGTATTGCAGATATTTTTGCACTTTGCAAATCCAGCTAATGCAAGTATTTGAATTTAGCCTTGGTTATGCTCATCTCATCAAATCTGTGGGAAATAATTCTTCAAAACCCAAGTCTGTCTTTTTACAGGCTTTCAAACACACAGTACTTAGTGTGGTGAGATGCACCAGAAGAAAATAATCTGGGCAGGAAATCTAGACAATAAGTTCACTGTAGTGCTTTAGTAATATTATTGCATCACTGACACAACATGTCTGATGGCCTTAGCTGTGTAAGTAGCTCCCCCCAGCTGACTAATTCCATCTATGTCAATCCATGGTCCAGATGAGGTAAATTTCTTAAAATAAAAATGAATTAGAGGGAACGTGGAGAACTGGGAAACAGAAAACTGCAAAAAAAGAAAAGAAAAAGAAATTGTCATGCTTTGTGAAAATAAATAGAAATAAAGATAAAACAATTTTATGTGCCATGATTTAAATTACAGAGGGACTGCAGGGCCTTACCTGTGCATCATTTGAGAGAAATGACTGAATTAGCGTTTTCACAAATGTCTTCATTGTTTGAAAGTCTGTAGTAGATATGCTGCCTGAACCATCCAACAGAAAAGCAATGTCTACTTGCGGCGGGCATGCTATCAAAGAGATTAATTTCAAAATGAATTTAATTTCAAAGGGTTAAAGTTAACAGTACCACACAGTACCACATGCTGAAATAAACTTCTCGTTAATGGCCCTTTGAGTTCATTTACGTAGTAAATACTAAATGTAATCTGATTTGACAGACAAAACATTAAGAATAAAAGATTAAACTAGTTTGATCTAAAACTAATTTTAGAGGTTCATGTAAAAAGAATCTACCTCTGGCCACAATCAGCACACTAAAAAAGAGACTGTGTCCTAACTAGGATAGGGGTTTGTGTCAGTGTGTGGGATTTTAGCCTAAGGTTAAAACTTACTTACCAATAGGAGTAAATTGACAACTTAAAACAATTTTATTGTTTTTTTTGTTTTGTTTTTAAGGTGACAACTTCCTATTGGTTATTTTGTGGTATGGCAGTTTTGGATGCATCTATCCATCCAAGCTTAGATCTTGAGGTTTGGTCTCATCTGTAATCTTAGACCACCAAATCATACAAGTCATACACAAAACCTGGCATCAATCCCTTTTTTTTATTTACTCCACTTCTGTTTTGACTAAACCTTATTTTTTGCTGACATGTATAAACAGAAGTCTCAATATAGTTTCAGTTGATCTGAGATTTAGAGATTGTACAAGCACCAAAATAAGTCATTAGAACTCTACGTTCAAGTATAAAATCCAAAAGCTCTTTTTTTAATTAGTGAGGCCCCAGGACTCTAAGCATTATGGGTATATCATCACAAATTTTATTTACTGTTACCTTGAAGAGAAGAAGGTATGGGTAGTCCAAATATATTAGAACGGTCCATCTGGAAGCACACACCGTTGTACATGGTGATACTTTTGCAGTCCTTTGGGATGGTTGGACCACAGACCTGAGAGGAGACAGTGTCAATTTTCCATTAATACAGTAGGCTGATTACTTCCCTGTCCTTCATACAATGATTACTTTGATATAACATCAAACATACCTGAAATTAATCTGAAATTTTCTTTTTTTTACAACTTTAACATATTTAAAGAAGCCACACTAAATTCTACCATGAAACATTTCCAAGCTAGAAGTCCTTAAAGTATTGGGGTTGGTTCAAAATTTAAGCAATTTATAATTCTTACATGTTTTTAAATAACCTTTTTCAACATTTTTCAGTCTTCCAAACTCCTTGTTTATGTATGTGATATATCTGCATTAACATTTCAGGACTGAAAAAATACATTTAGTTTTTCACAGAGCTTGAATATGTTAAACAAGTGAACTAAAATAAGCAGACCCAGTCCTATACACCTGTCCTATGTCTTAAGTGTTTCTAAGTGTTTTTCAGTAAACAAGGTAAAATTTTGAATGGCTTCATTAAATATGCTAAACGTATTGTACCCAAAACATCAGCTGATTTTATGAGGTGTTGGTGAAAGGCACACTAAGGCTATGTTCACACTGCAGGCGAAAGCGCATTGACCCTATGCGACCCATATCCGATCATGGTATGACAGTGTGAACGGCACAAATCCAATATTTTCAAATCCGATCTGGGTCACTTTCATATGTGGTACTGAATCTGATAAATATCCAATGTTTTAGAAAGCAACTCTTGTTTGAACGGTCAAGTCGCATTAAATCCATCTTTTACGTCACTGACACAAGACAGACGCCAATTATCAGCTCCGGAGAAGACATCGCAAACGCTTCCTGGCCATCCAGCAGTGAAACCTGTGTCAGTGTTGGGAAGACAACGTTGGAGAAACGTGAACATGTTATTTATAACTGTATAATCTGCAGATTCTGACAGAAATCTGCAACTATCCTTTGAAGCAAACAGCAATAAGGATAATTATTAGGTTATTTACATATTTACATTTACATTATGTAAATAACAAAATAACTTAAAGCAAAAATTGGGAAACGTAAAGTCCAAAGTCTTTATATTAACCCTCTCGAGGCAGGCGTTGCCGATTTACAACAGTTAAAAACTAACAACCTGATTACCCCACATACATATTTTATGAGTTTTTTTACTCAGAAGTACCACTGCAGGACTTGGTTGTGCATTAGCAACAAAAAACTTAATTTGAGCCTGAGAGGGTTAAGGGCCATCAGTCAAACAATATCGTTTGCTCTGGGTCTAAACAGCACGTTGTGTGTGACGTTTTCTTTTGCGCATGTGCGCCGCTTTGAGGGTTCACACTAGAGCGCGTTTGCTGTCGCATTTTATTTGTAGTGTGAACAAGCAGACAAAAAAATCGGAATTGAGCATTAAGACCTGCAGTGTGAACGTAGCCTAAGTTGTCATGGAATGGCCTTCATGCATTTTCTAATTATAACTGTCATGGTCCAGAGTCTGTGGACTCTATGTTTATGTTTAAGTTTATTATTATTATTCTGTGGTTTTGTTTATTTTGGGTTGTTTTTTATGATTATCCCTAGTGTTTTGTGTCCTTTGTGCTCTCCTGTTCCATGTTTCACATTCCTATGTTCTGTCTCCCCAGTCTGTGTTAAGTTTGCATGTGTAGAGTTCAGTCAGTGTGTTTCCTGTTTTATTTTGAAGGTCTGTGTCTCTTGTCAGTGTTTCTAGTTTCGCTTCCCCTTGTCTCGTTATGTCCAATTAATCCCAGCCGTGTCTCCCATTCCCTGATTGCCCTGTGTGTATTTAAACCCTGTGTTTTCTTGTGTGCGCGTTGCTGGCTCATCTGTGTATTTCCCTGAGTCTCCCTACACCTCTGTTTCTGGTTTGTTTCAGTTAGTTTTCCCAGTTTAGGTTTTGCTTAGCTTCCATGCTCACCTTCGCCGTATCTATTTGTATCACCCTGTATCACTCTTGGGTCCTAATTCTCCACCTCCACATGTCTGCCACAGTGGACGTGACAATAACAAGAGATTTTGACAATGTACTGGTAATGTCTGCAGTTCACCAACTCACCACAGTGTTTTGTGTTGTGGGATCACTTTTCATTGTCAGACCAAGCGACATGTTGACTGCAAAATCTGGTGCTGTATTAAAAACAAGCAATATTTTTTTAAATACTCATAAAAGGCAATTGAAAGGAAGAAAATAAGACTTAAATCAATGACTCCAAAGCAGCATGACTGAAATACTTCCCATTGGAACTTCTCTCAACTGCAAACCAGGATGTAAACCAGGCCGCTTTAATATCATATAATTTAGTTTCACTTAAAGAATTATCTTAACATTAACATTACTAATGCCATTGACTTTTTCTTTGCTTATTTTAGCAAGATATTTCTAGTTTTAAAGGCTCAGTGTTACAAACTAAGATATTTACTTTGAAAAATCTAATTATAATTTGATTTACACATGTTTCTGTGCAGCTCACGATAAAACACATGCCGTTAGAGTTCCATCACATCTTGTCAATACATTCAATAATGAATGATTACTTACCTTCAAACGGGATATTTTGGCAGTTTCGGGGAGAGGTGGTGCAGCTATAAATTTTCCCCCTTCGATTTTGTGAATATTGTTCTACTGGGGCACTGACGAGCACACTAAAGAAATAAATCCAGTCAATGACGTAAGTCCAGACAGTGAATTGTAGGTAAATAACAATAATCTCTATGAACAGTTCCAGTCTGGTTTTTGCCCTTGCAATAGCAGAGAAACAGCCGTTATAAAAATAATCAACGATCTGCTTATGGCAGCTGACTCCTGTTTACTCTTCATTCCTGACTCAAAAATCCATCAATAAGCTTCAACGTGTCCAGAACTCTGCTGCCCGTATTAACACTAGGATTCCCTCTATTCACCACATCACCCCTGTCCTGAAGCAGCTTCATTGGCTTCTGGTCAAACATCGCATCAATTTTAAAATACTTCTGTATACATTCAAGACTATTCATCTTCTCTCCCCTCCAAATCTCTCTGATTTGGTTCAGATCACCATTCCATCTCGGTGCCTCAGATCCTCTTCTCTCTCTCTCTCTGTTCCTTCCCAGTGTCTGCCTTACCACTACATATTTCAAATACAATGAGGGTTTCTACAGACAAAAACATGGCTGTGCCATGGGCTCCCCGGTGTCACCCACTGTAGCCAACCTTTACATGGAGGAATTGGAAAGAAAGGCTCTTGGATCTTTTAAAAAGGAGATTACCCAGCCACTGGTACAGATATGTAGACGACACCTGGGTCAAAATCAAAACACAAGTAGTGGAATCCTTCACTGCTCACATCAACGCTGTGGATAAATAGATCAAGTTCACCAGGGAAGACACAAAGGACAACTGTTTGCATTTCCTGGACTGTGCCGTGCACATTGAAGAGAATGGAAACCTCAACATCGAAGTTTACCGGAAGCCCACACACACGGACCAGTATCTCCTGTTTGACTCCCACCACCCTCTAGAACACAACCTTGGAGTAATTAGGACCCTACACCACCGGGCAGAACATGTTCCCTTGAAGGGAAAAAGAAGGAACGCACACATGTAAAGGAAGCTCTTAAAACATGCAGTTATCCTGTTTGGGCTTTCATCAAGTCAGCAAAGATGCACAGAAAAGAAGATCAGACACCAGTGAGGGAGGATAAGAAAGACAGACGCAACAACATTGTCATTCCCTATATACCCGGTGTATCAGAAAAACTCAGGAGAGTTTTTGTCAAGGGCAGTGTCGTGGATGAGAGAAGGAGGACCCAAACGCTGGACTCACAGGCAGGTAGGTGAAGGTGGATGTTTATTGCCGAAGGAGTGAGCAAACAGTACAGAGGGAGGAAATGGCTGGCTGACTGACTGAACAAAGGACTGACTGACTGACTGACTGACTGACTGACTGGACATACAGACGACATTGACATCAGACATACATCATTAATGACCCGACATTGAATGGGTAGAACAGAGGGCTTAAATACACAGACTGGTGATAATGGTGATAATGATGATAATGAGAGACCGGTGAGTACACAGCTGAACATAATGAACTAATGATAATGGGAAAAGGACTGAACATAATGCACACAGACCAAGGCTAACACAATAAAACAGGAAGTGGAACAGGCAGTAGATAAACAGTGAACATGAACTAAGAATACTGGGTCAAAGACCCAGAAACCCTGACAGTACCCCCCCCGCTAAGGCCGGCACCCGACGGCCAAAAGAACGAAAAACCAGAACAGGGCGGGCGGAGGGGGCCCAGGACGGAGGGACGGAGTCCACACAGAGACAGTTCAGGGGGCCGACCGTGCGGACGGCAACGGCGACGACGACAGCGCTGGTCCGGGGGCCGACCGTGCGGAAGGCGACGGCGACGATGACAGCGCTGGTCCGGGGGCCGACCGTGCGGAAGGCGACGGCGGCGATGACAGCGTTGGTCCGGGGGCCGACCGTGCGGAAGGCGACGGCGGCGACGTGGACGCAGTTCGGGGGGCTGGCCGTGCGGAAGGCGACGGCGGCCACCCAGGAGAAGGGGGTCCGGGGGCCGGCCGTGCGGAAGGCGACGGCGGCCACTCAGGCGATGACGGTGCAGTTCAGGGGGCCGGCCGCGCGGAAGGCAGCGGCGGCGGCTCTCCAGTGTCAGGCGTACTGGCCGAGGCCCGGTGGGCACAGGACCAGTCAAGGCGGGACCAGTCAAGGCGGGACCAGGCGAAGCACAGGCTGAGGCTGCAGCAGACGAAGGCTCTGAGGCTGCAGCAGACGAAGGCTCTGAGGCCGGGCCGGGCGTGGGTGCAGCTGAGGCCGGGCCGGGCGTGGGTGCAGCTGAGGCCGGGCCGGGCATGGGTGCAGCTGAGGCAGAGGCCGGGCCGGGCGTAGCTGAAGCCGAGGCTGAGGCCTGACCAGTCGAAGTTGAAGCCTCTGGCTGGAGACAGGCCGGGCCAGCGGGTGCGGAAACCCCTGGCTGAGGAGCGGCCGGGCCAGCGGGTGCGGAAACCCCTGGCTGAGGAGCAGGAGAGCTCACAGCTGGCTCTGGGTGCTGTGGTTGCAGGTCCGGGAACCGAACAGGATGGTGTACGGGCGACTGGGAAACAGAAGGCGACTGGACTGACTGGACAGGGGACTGGGAAACAGGAGCAGACTGGACAGGGGACTGAGCTACAGGAGGTGACTGGAGGACAGGAGGAGACTGGACAGCAGGTGAGGGAACTGACTGGAGGGAAAGCTGAACAGCAGGTGAGGGAACTGACTGGAGGGAAAGCTGAACAGCAGGTGAGGGAGCTGACTGGAGGGAAAGCTGAACAGCAGGTGAGGGAGCTGACTGGAGGGAAGGCTGAACAGCAGGTGAGGGAGCTGACTGGAGGGAAAGCTGAACAGCAGGTGAGGGAGCTGCTAAGGGAGGAACAGAGGCAGGCGTGGCTGACAACGGAGCTGAGGTTGGTGTGGCTGACGGCTGAGCTACAGACTGGGCTAGACAGGGAGATAAAGCTACGGCCTGGGCTAATAAAGCTGGTGCATGAGCAGGGGACACCTCAGCTAGTCTAACCAGTGATACTGCGAGGGCGTGAAAAGCTGGATCAGGAGGTGGATGAAAGGGTGAAGTAGTAGGTGGACCGGTTAGCTCTTCCAAGCCTCCAGGGAGGTCAGGCTGGGTTCTGGCTGCCCTCAGCCTGGGCGCTGGGACAGGCACAGAAGGTGGCTGGACACCAGTCACCCCCACCCGAGAAACAGGAGCGGGTGTGGAGGTAGACTGGGTCGCAGCTGCCCTCCTCCTGGGAGCTGGCACTGGAGTGGGTGTAGGCTGACTGATAGGAGTGGAAATAACGACTGGGTGAGTGACACTGACAGGTCTATCGGGTTGTATTCTGGTCTTTCTGCCACCACTATTTACAGTTTTTGACTGAACAGTCTTTGGGGAGCCAGAGCAGAAAATATCTTCCCAGTCCACATCATCCTCAAGGAGGGAAACTCCCCATGAATCAGAAAAGAGTCTGTTGTGTGTTTTAAGTGGATAATCAGATGAGGGGTGTGGAAAACAGTCACTGGAACTCACCACCGGGAGTTGCTGAACAGAGTCCGTTTTATGGCGGCGTGTGCGCCGCTTTCCCCGGGAAGAGGAAGCGGGCCGGGTAAACGGCTGAGCCTCTGGCGCGGTAGCCTCCGCTGAGCCGAGATGGGAGGTGTAGCCGCTGTGCCGTGGCGAGGCGGAAAGGCTGGAGAGTGAAAAGGCTGGCGGGCGAGCGAGGAGCGAAGCGGCGGGAGAGCGAGCGGCCGAAGCTTGGGCTGTGACGCCCACTCTCCGCGGCGAATGCTCCGGTGCAGCTGAGGCAGCAGGTGGGGGAATGTGGCGTCTCCGAGGCCCGCCCAGAGCCAGGCGAGTCCCCTCGAAGACGTGCTCTCTCTCCGCGAAGAGCCGCTGTTTTCCCCGAAGCCCCTCCGTCCAGCGAAGGAGCGCTGCCTCCTGCCGCTCGAAAAGTTCAGGGTCCGCTGGGTCCACAACGCGTGGTCGTGTCATTCTGTCAAGGGTAGTGTCGTGGATGAGAGAAGGAGGACCCAAACGCTGGACTCACGGGCAGGTAGGTGAAGGTGGATGTTTATTGCCGAAGGAGTGAGCAAACAGTACAGAGGGAGGAAATGGCTGGCTGACTGAATGAACAAAGGACTGACTGACTGACTGACTGACTGGACATACAGACGACATTGACATCAGACATACATCATTAATGACCCGACATTGAATGGGTAGAACAGAGGGCTTAAATACACGGACTGGTGATAATGATGATAATGAGAGACCGGTGAGTACACAGCTGAACATAATGAACTAATGATAATGGGAAAAGGACTGAACATAATGCACACAGACCAAGGCTAACACAATAAAACAGGAAGTGGAACAGGCAGTAGATAAACAGTGAACATGAACTAAGAATACTGGGTCAAAGACCCAGAAACCCTGACAGTTTTCTCCAAGCACGACATCGCAATTTACTTCAGACCCAGCAACACACAGAAACTGGTTCATCCCCAAGACAAAACTCCTAAACACAAACTCAACAATGTAGTGTATTCTGTACAGTGTAATGAGGAATGCTCAGACCTCTACATTGGAGAGAACACACAGCCACTTCATAAACGCATGGCACAACATAGGAGAGCCACCTCCACGGGACAAAACTCAGCAGCCCATCTGCATTTAAAGGACAAAGGTCACTCTTTTGAGGATGCCATTTTACACATTTTGGACAGAGAACGCCCACTCACATCCTGGGCCATCTGACCTCAGGAAATCACATGATAGGGTGGGGCTAGGTTTCACAATGAGCTCACCTGAAATCTTGGCTGATTGTGACCTACACCCATTTTCACACCTTGGTTCATGTGATTAGGTAGAGGATCATTAGGTGGTCCATTGTCCCTCTCGGGGGATACTCCCACAGGGCTTAAAATTCAGGACTCTCCACCATTTGACCCAAGACCGGCAGAAGCTTCTCGGATGAGAGGTGAAACGTCTTCAAGCAACTTAAAGAAGTCTAGACGCTTTTCTTTCCAAGCTCCTTAGACTACGATGACCTGGATGACTGAGAACCTTCACTGACATATTCCCACTCTCTTGTCACTATGGAGGGCAGGCCCTTCAGTTGCTATGCTCCTTAACTTTGGAATTCCCTACTTCCTGATATGAGAAATATCATCTCATTTTCTCTTTTTAAGTCTAGACTCAAAACTCACCTGTTCAAAATAGCTTATTCCACATAACCTTTCCACCCTGCTAACTTTTAATCTGTTCGTTCTATTATGTTTCTCATTATTGTGTATATTCCCTGCTTTTACTACTTTGCTCTTCACAGTGTCCTTGAGTGTTCTGAAAGGCACTTTTGAAATAAAATGTATTATTATTATTATTAAATACACTGTATGTTTTCTGTTAAGAAGTATTGTTTAATTATTACTGTAAGGCATAACAGAGAGGCCAGTTCAAAAAATGCGAAATCTGTAAAATAATCTTAACCACGCAGGTGCAGACCCACATCCAACATAAAAATGCATGTCCTGACTTACTCTGATTGTCTTTGAATCACCTGGTAGCCAAAACCAGCAGCAGAGTTACTCAGGGTCTTCCAAGCCACGGGATCGATATTGAAACAAAGTGCAGCATTTAACACTGAGAAATGTTTTTTTTTTTAAAAAGCAGAAGAAAAAAAGAAAAAGAAAGAATGACATCAATAATCTTACTTAAGGTCATCTAATAATGTAATTATAGCCTTTCTCAATGTAATCACATTTAGGAAATTATACACAGTCTGTTTTATTTTCATACTATGTCTAGACTACCACTATAGCAGAGATGTCAAAGTCACTTCACACTAGGACCACATACAGCTCATAGTACAACTACACACTCCCTGAGATAGCTAAATATAAGAATAAAGAGTGCAATTTAAAGAGTATGTCTCAGTTTGTATATATGATAAAGAAATTTTGCTGGAGTTAATGAAGAACATCTTGTCAGCATGACCCTTTGGGCTTAAATTTTAGATAATCAATGTGTAAAACAACAAAGTTATATTAGATCATTGCAGACTGTCCTGTAATTATACAAGAGAACCTTTTATTAATTCACATAAATAATCCTTTCTTTGTTTTCTTTCACTGGACCCATTGTAATAAAAAAAATAGAGATTTAGAGAAGATACTGAAAAAACAGGAACTTTTCTGTCATTTCATTGTTCATCTATTACTTATTTACTTTGGTGTGGTACAATTCTCTATCTTTATCAGGAGGAAATGCTGTAAAACCTATGAAAATATATTTTAAAGTCTTATTAAATTTATGCCCTTTTTCACTTGATCCAAAGCCATCCAGTGGGTCTTATTGGAGTCTTTGCCAGGCATATTTTAGCCCTCTGGCCTTATGTTTGACACCCCTGCGCTACAGTGAATCTGTCATTACCACTACAGTGCTCTAAAGCCAGATATTTTACAAAGCTAAAAAACATATTGAAGATTAAAATTTAAACCAGATTCTATCTTTTCTTCTTATATCTTCCTCCATTTAAAAAATACAGACATTTAAAGCTTTAAAGGATGAAAATCAATGCTTAACTCTACAATTAGTTTCAGGATATTCCACAGTATAAAAATAGACAACCTTTTTGTATGCATGTGCTTACTTACAGTGCTAAAAAATAACAGAATGGAGAATGCTGCTTGCGTGCACATTCTCCAGTCCTCCCTAACAGTCAGACTCATCAATACCTACCACATCCACATGCAAGTAAAGGAAATGAAGTCTCTGAGGGAAGTAAGTTTGATGTCACAAATGTACATCCCCAAAGAAGAAAATCTAAATCAGTAGCGTGCACTTTAGATAATAAAAACAGTATAGAGGCACGGAAATTGTATTGTTATATGGTTGCCATAAAGTGAAACTCTGATATTGTTGCAATACTACATAGCCCTTGTTCTATATAAGGCTAGACCTGAATTTTTGTGCCAATTATTTTTATGAAACAACTTACATTTATCACATTTCCTTTTTTGGGTCATGCTATGAACAATCAATATATTTTTCTGTTCAATAATGAAATCCTAATTTGATAGTTTTGCAAAAACCAAATGTATTTAGACATAGATATTTTATAATACTGACACCCTCTCAAGTTCCTCTTATCACCACTGTCTCTTTAGATTACTGTAATCTTTTGTAATTAAAGATTTTCAGTACATGGAGAGAATAAGTTGGAAGGAAGAATATGGTGTGTCGTGGTCGTAAAAAGTTTACAGTTTTGTGTCGCCCTGCATAAAACAAGGAGGAATATATAATGACTGCATAAACTACTAAATCATTTGGGTTCATAAATCCAGTTCTACAGGTTTTGTGGGGTTAATAATTAAGAATGTATTACTTCGTGAAATTTTCACACTGCATTTCTACGACAGACAACATCAAAACATTTTAGTTATAAATTTATTTTTAGAGTCAGAAGTTGACTGAACTCATGACACATTTCAGCAGGTAGTTTAATTCACAGAGGATAAATTGCAAATAAGGAAAGGGCCATCACAAAAATATGTCAAGGTCATATGGTTTCACTTTATATTTTACCGTCAATTTATTTGTGGGTTTTTAATACTAAAAGAAATATTTTATAAATAGAAAAATGTGGCTGTGTATACTTACAGTCATTTTTCCACAGGTTGTACTCATTCATAATTAAAGAACTAAAGACAAAATCAGAAGGCACAAACTTGTCTTACCAGATGAAAATAGTGTAACACAAATTATCCAATCCATTGTGTTGCTTCCATGAAAAAAAACCCAGTCTGTTTGTTTTTTTAATTTGACTGATACAGTTGGTGAGGAATTACTTCTGCTCTGTCTCACAGGAGTTGTTTAATCCAAAATACAACAGTCATAGGATGACTGATGAAAGGTAAGGCAGGTAACGTTTTCATGGGAGGAGCTACAGTATTGACAGCACTGTCTGTTTTATAAGACACGCTGCTGTGGTGGTGTTTAATTTTGATCCATTTGTTCAAGTATTTTTTCTAAGCGAAAAAATGTAAATCAATATAAACTGTTAATGATTAAATAAACTGAATCGCGTTTAGAAGATAAAATGCCTGTGTTCATGAGAAGCTTAGTATCACACTGGAGGGGAAACTGTGGGACAGCAGGTTGAATGAAACACATGCTTTTTGTGAAAGGAGGGAAAATGTTAGGATTGAAAATGTTTGATTTCTTTTTGATTTCTTTTACTACAATACGTGATTATAATCATTTTCATACACACATTGCAAATGTGCTCATGAGATTTGGCACTCAGTCTTCTGACGGTCATAAGCTTCGTTTGGCGTGACTGTCCGGACTGATATATTGTAGGAAATGACTTAAATTGCAGAGGGGTAACTGCAAACACGCTTACACACATAGATAATAATTAGACTAATTATTATATGATATTCTAAACCAATTTTGAATCACTAGAAGAACAGTGGATAATAACATTAGATTATCTAGGCTAGGCAGAGAAGTGTTTGGTTTTTCCGTCTTTTACAGAGCTAGGAGCAGACACCAGATGAGGTCACGAAGATATCCTTCGCAGCAGACACCAAGACTGCCAAGACAGCAATTGGGGTCAAGGGTCATGCCGTTTGGGCTCCTGCTAGTCACCTCGAGAGGATCCCAGAACCACAGCAATAACCACGAAGTGGTTGGCGGAAATCCAGAGGCAGACCAAGGAGGGTCTGACCAAGAAAGGGGGACACTGCTGTGACCCCAAAAGAAACATGGATCCCGGCCAAGGGGCAAAATAAATCCCCTGATCTATGCAATGAACCGAAGGGTAGTCTAACCCCTAACGTTGAAGAAAGAAGAGGAAAAGAGTGCAGAGAATCGCCCGTCCCGGAAGGCAGCTGAAAGTAATGGGAGATCTGAGAATTAGCTTTAGTAATGGTCTGTGATTTGTGATTTTTATGTTATGACAGTTGCCCAAGCACAGCAATCATCCCATATATGGCAACGTGTAATGCAGGACGCATCTCCCTTCTAGAAGTAATAAAGTATTAAATGGTCTACTGAGCAGTGTTTTGTCTTCCATCGGATGCCTCTGAGGAATCAAAAGAACTCAGTGAAGTGTTGATATTTACAAAGCTCTTGTAAAAAGATTGGTTATTGCATTATTTTATACAATCATATGAAATAACTGGATTCACAAATAAAATAGAAAAATAAAACTTTAATTTCTGTTCGCAGACTTGAAGCCACATATTTTGCTGAGACATTGGCTTTACTCAGTTACTGACTTTTGTTTTCAGATGGATCTACTTTAAATTAAAAAATGGGGATTGCTGTTTCACGTTATCTTCTAGTTTAAGATCTAAACCAGGGCTGCCCAATCCCAGTCCTCAAGAGCTACTATCCTGCAGCTTTTAGATGCATCCCTACTCCAACACAGCTGAATCAAATGGTTTGATTACCTCTTCAGCATGCCATCATGTTTGGCAAAGGCCTGATAACAAGCCATTCATTTGATTCGGGTGTGTGGGAACAAGGATGCATCTAAAAGCTGCAGGATGGTAGCTCTCGAGGACCGGGATTGGGCACCCCTGATCTAAACAAACTCCATCTAAAAATAATTCATTTATGCGCCTTGCCTTAGAGTATTTGTTGCTGCATTTAGTTAATTCTAGTTGGGGTTTGTTTGGTAGTCTTTGTCTCTTGTTCATTGTATTTACTTTCACTTCCCTTGTCTAATTTTGTAGTATTAGTTACAGCTGAATTCCCCAAATATTTCCTCTTTCATCACTTCTAGTATTTATCTTGGTTTCCCCTTGTCTCATTCACTTGCTTTACTCCTGGTTTGTTTGTTTTTTTTGCTTTGTCTCCATTTGGGATTCAAAAGCAATAAAACCTTGCCTTTTATTTGCTGCCATTTCCTCCAACACTTTAGCTCAGAGGGTATAAGCACTGTCAGCAGATGTGGAGAGACAGCTGGATTTGGACATGAACAGGTGCTCCTTGTATTCAGTTGAGTGGGAGGAGTCTGTGGACTGAGGTTTTGACGTTACTGTCACTGAAAACCACCACCAAGGGAGTTGACATTTACAATGCAGTGAAGTGGTACTCTTTGGAAAAAAAGAAAAAAATCAACTTGGGATTTATTGAACATTGCAAAGCGAACCCAGACTTTCCTAAAGTACTGAAACAGATAAACATTTAAATGCCTTCATTGACGTGAACCTCAGTGGAAACATTTCTGCATAAAGCTCTCAGGTTGAATCTATGCAGTGCCACTGACAGAAACTGTGCAACTCATTAACATTAATAAAAGATGGTGGATTTATGAGCTCAGAAATCTGCACTGTTTGTTGTTAATTTGTTTTGATAAATTGTGGATTTAGAGAAGTTCAAGTCCTCCAAATATGTTGGAGTGTTGCTCAGGAGTACAGTACAGCATAACTATGCTGTTTATTTTTTGTGCATGTTCTCCATATGTTCATTTCCACCATTTTGAAGTACAATGAGTACAACATTCAGATATTTGTGAATGGCAGTTCTTACACACAATATGTGCTCTTGGTTAACATGTTTATTTATATATATATATATATATAGATATATATATATATAGATATATATATATAGATATAGATATATATATAGATAGATAGATATAGATATATAGATATATAGATATAGAAAATGAGCATTCACTTGCTTTTAGAAATTGGCTATATAAATAAATTTAGCTAAGGATGAGTAGCTCTCTAATGCTTTTTTGTGTAAAAGTAACTCACAGAACAAAAAAGGTTGGAGACCCCTGCTCTGTTAATTAACAATATAAATCCGTAATGTTGTGTTGATGGTTCTGAAAGATAAACTTGTAATGTTTAGAGTCCTAAGCTTTTAATCACAAAAAGAGAGAGAATATATAACTAGTTATGGATTCAACAATATGTTGTTTTTCTACACTGGATGATTAGTTATGTATGAAAAATGAAATGAATTTTATTCACATACTACATATAATGAATGATAATGATGAAGCAAAAACTTTATCTTTTATAAATATTACACATTTTACAATTTATTGAACAACGGCATTCACATTGTTATTGGCACTTTGCACATCTACAGCAGTTAAGCAGAGGTGGAAAGAGTACTAAAATATTTTACTCAAGTAAAAGTACTATTACTTTGCTGAAATTTTACTCAAGTACAAGTGAAATTACCTGTCTAAAAATTTACTCAAGTAAAATTAAAAAGTAGCTCATTTAAAATGTACTCAGAGTAAAAGTTACATAGTTACTTTTTTGTCAGCAGGAGGACAGCCTCTTCTGAGTAGTGCAAAAAAGACAATGGGATAAATCTCAAAGTAGTTGTTTTTTAATTAAAAGAAAAACTTTACAAATTAAAGTGCAGTGGCAGTTAAAGTGCAAGTCTATACATCAAAATGGATAATGGTCACCAAACCAACCAACCAAACTGTCAAAACCATATAATTCTTTTACATGAGAATGTGTCCTAAACTGTCAAATAAGAGAACAAGTACTGAATTGAGCTGTACGGCAGCTGCTATAAAACTGTGTTTTAAGTTTTTTAAACATAGCCCTGCTCTGTTAATTTTGAGGTGCATTTCAATTCAATTCAATAAAACATTATTGATCCTGAAGGTTGACCCCGAAGGAAATTGGGTTAAGGCTGCCGACCTTTGCCAGCGCCATCTTACCCTTCTGACCATACATACATTACACAAACATCACATGGGGAAGACAGGTCAGAGAGGTATAACAATGGAAAATGCACCACATGAGGAAAGATAAGGAGAAAAAAATAACTCTCCCCAGACTGAGCTCCAACAGGGAGATCAGTTTGAGAACAGAAAAAAACACCTCTGCACATAGCACATGTTATTCTTTTGCCTGCAGTGTGAACATATGTGGGTTAAGTAAGAAAGTAGCCGCTTCTGTCTTCTGTCTAATTTAACTATTTTTTTAAAATAAATTATTATTATTAACAAACAGGAAAAATGTAAGTAAACACATTTTCTTTTGGCAATTTACCAATCCAGTAAAAAAAAAAATGTAAGTTGCGTGGACAACAACGTGCCCAATAACAGCTTATGTCTTAACTTAATGTGATTAACTTGAGCACAGCCTTTTTGCTAAAATAAATGTACAAGTTTCATTTAACGTACCTCTACATGCTTGCGCAGGTTTGATGTGGAATTTTTAAAAGCTGCTAACTCGGTCTCTCTGGGCAAACACAGCTTACACTGCATAATAAAGCTGTTGCCTTTCTTGCACTTGAAACCGAAATGGTCCCTTAAATACGGCCAGGGGTTCACATCCGTTTCTTCGAGTTCAGGGTCAGCAGAATTCAACGGGGTTTCTTTTTTCGCTGGATCCGTACCACCGATGTCAGACTCCATCTTTATCGTGACCCAACGCCAATTTGTTCTACTACCCATCATTATCTGCAGTATTTCTGAAGCGCAATGTTGGGGTTTTTTTTGTTTGTTTGTTCTTTTAATTTACTCAGTAAGAGGTGTGATTGAAAATGTAGCAAAGTACAATACTTTTTAAAAAATATACTTAAGTAAAAGTAAAATTACCGACTTGAAAAATGACTTTAAAAAGTACAAATACACAAAAAATACTACTCAATTACAGTAACGCAAGTAAATGTAATTCGTTACTTTCCACCTTTGCTTTTAAGCATATAAAATATATAAAATTTCATTCATTATACATTACAGGGTGACATGAAAAGTTTTTTGCTGTATAATAATGTCTACAAACATACAGTTTGTAAAAATATAAATACAGAGATATTTCATGGTGGGCAATTATTATTATCCTTTAAAA